CCCCCCCCCCCCTGGTGCCGGCCGCTTGATTTTACTCTTTTGGTCGGGGGCGCGACATGCGGCGGCTGGCTATTGCCGAGCTTAATGACCGGACGGGGGAAGGGTTGAAGGGTTTCTTCTTCTTGGAACCGGAGACAAAAAAGTGGAGACCACACAGCTTTTTTCCCAAACCACCGTCTTTCTACACGGAAAAAACAAGAGCACTTCGACAAACGGAAAACGTTCTCCTCCCCCACCTGAATCCCAAGCCCCATCGACAAATCAGCACGAACGCAAACATGTGCGGCCTTCGCAACTAACAATCGGACACCGCAGCAGCAGTGCGTCGAATAATGTTCACGTGTACGTATACAGTATCAACGCTATCGTGTCCCCTCCCCTGGTGTGATAACAGGCAATATTTCTTGTTTCGTTCGGAGCGAGCGGCGGAAGAGCAGCACCTGCCTGTCGGTGCTTGCTGCGGCTCGAGACATGTTGCTCAATAGCCTTATGCCCCGCCCCCCCTCTGCCCGAAAATACAGCACGATCACCGGTGGTGTGATGATCCTTACCACCAACGAAACCACGCAACATTGCCCAAAAGAGTGAGAGGGGTTGGGGACCCCTCTCCCTTTTCGCTGTGACCTTTTTCAGAAGCAACCAAACTCGGCATGGATAAATACGACGACTTCCCTCCGTTCGTCCTCTCTTCGAACTCGCCCGCGTGACATCCTCTTACTACACACTTCGCGCCGCCCCACCCCCCCCCCATATCCGTGCAAAAGAAAGTTGCACGACCTTTTTGATAGTCGTCCCGCTTGCACCAAAAAAAAGTGGCTCGACATCATCATCGTCTTACAATTCTCAAAAAGTCAAAAGCGTAATATCTACACTCGAATTGGGATGCATCAACTGCTGGTTCAGCAGTAGGTGGATCCAAGATTGACTCTCAATCTGAGAACTGCAAGAGGCCGGCAGTGTACGATGCCTGCTCTGCTATTTCTGCCACCTTCCTCCGGACGGCCCAAGCTGCTAGCTCCCGCGCGCTAGGCCCCTGGCGTGTATAGCATTCCCACGCGGCATCCTCCCGATACATCGGTCAGTGAAAAGAGTGAAAAGGGCTCATGTTGGTCCGGCCGACAACGCGGTGGTCAGCGGAGCCCCCATGTACAAACAAGCTGTGCCCTTTTTTCCACCACACCCAAATGGCCACCAACACCTCGCTCGCATCGA